AAAAAAAGAAAAAAAGTATAGGTAATCATTTCGACCCCTATTATATTGTAGCAAGGACGAGCAGCCCAGCTTTCCTGCATAATATGTTGCTGTCACTCCATATGGGTAGTTCTCTAAAAGAGGGTCCCTTTTTGGGTCCCCAATATAGTACGGCACCCTAATAAAAAGGACGCTACAAGGGACCTTAATTTAGAGAACTACCCATATGTTATGAGAGCAGCCACTATAAATATTACCAATCAACCGAGACCGGCCATGATTCCTTAACAAGGGGCCTAACTGCGCCCGCGTCTTATGATCTCTGTTGTCGACTCCTTGGCCCTTCCCACACATGTAAAAAGCGCCAGTAGCTCGAGACGTTGCACCCTACACCCTAAACCCGTGGTGAACTTGTAGGCCAAACGCCCAGATCCCTTGCTCCCCCAAAAGCATAAAAAGCATAAGCCAGCAACGCTGCACCCTAAGACCTACAACTAAACCACAATCCCAGATGTGGCGGGGTTATAACTTAGCGCCCTTAGCAACATAACAAAAGAACAGATCGTTGATCATGCTGTGGATTTTTGAGAAATCAGGATTACGTCCTAAGAGCACTACAGGTAATGACTTATGAGTTGTAAGCACATAAGATAAACAAAAAAAGCACTAAAGACCCAAACACCTGAAACCCCATGAAGCTAAACGAAACGAAACCCCAGAACCCCAAAGCGCATGAAAGCTGTTTTAGAGTTTAGGGTTTCGGGTACCCTGAACCCGGTATAAGAGTATCACAAACTGATATAACACACACACACAGACACACACAAACAAACACACACACACACATACAGAGACACACTGACTGACTGCTTAGGCAAGCAATCAATCACCCTGCCAACACACCTTCGCAACCAGCGTCTTCGGGCTTGGCAACCTCAGCATTTCTTAGTCAGGAGAAAGCGAGGCTATCCTGGGGATCCGAAAATCGAGGCGCTTAGAGAGAGGGGTTGATTTCATTCATGGATTCACACGGTTGATGTTATAAATCCTGCATTTCCCATAATAAGGAATATACCATAATTCCCATTGTTTACGGCCTTTAAGGTAATGTAGGATTTATAATATTTTATATCATCAACAGCATTACTTGCGACCGGTGTAGTTGTGGACCCGGGGGTTCAGGATTCGAAAGCAGCGGAACCCGACTTTGCTGGCCGCGCCCCTTCACCCCTCAACTCCTCAAAAAACCAAACCCTAAGCCCCAAACTGTCTGAATCTTAGAACTCGGATGAATTTTATACTCTAGGCAAAGCTGTCAACCCAAACCGCCCACATCCTAAAACCCCTATGCCCTATGGGTAGTTCTCTAAAAATAGAGTCCCTTTTTGTGTTCTTTTTATAAGGGTGCCGTACTATATTGGGGACTTAAAAGGGGACCCTAATTTAGAGAACTACCCTAAGCAAAACTTCGAACCCTAAACCCCAAACCCCAAAACCCTAAACCCCAACACCCTAAACCCTAACCCCAAAACCCCAAAACCCCAAAACCCTAAACTTCGATCCCCAAACCTTTCGGAAACTCCAGGGCCCCCAGCGCGGGGGTGGTTGGAAGCTTGTTGGCCTTGGCCGTAGGAAACGCAGACGCGAGCTGTTTGGGGGTTCTGAGCCCCTGAACCCTAAACCCAAAGTCCTAAGCCCTAAACCCAAAGGCCCTAAGCCCTAAACCCTAAGGCCCTAGAGCCCTAAACCCTAAGGGTCAAAGGGGCATTGTCGGGTCTCGAGCTGTCTAGGGCCTTCAGTTTTGGGCCTGGGTTTTAGAGTTCGGGGTTTAGGGTTTAGGGGTTTAGGATTTGGAGTTTAGGGTTTGGGGTTTAAGGCTGTAGGGCTTTAGGATTTGGGGTTTAGAACAGTAATGGTAAATCGCAATGGTACTAGTGTTGGTGATAGCGATCATGATAGTGGTAGTGATAGTGGAACATAGCCGTGATGAATGGAAGAGCGCCCTTTAGCCACGCATCTTGAGACCAACTCAACAGTTCAACAATCACAGCTTGTGTGTGCTCGAAATGCAGATCTCCAAGGGTTTATAGGGTTTATAGGGGTTATAGGGGTTATAGGGTTTAGGGTTTAGCAGATCTCCATTCACACCATGTATGTAGCCGTTTCCACCAGTCGTCATCTTCTCTCTGCGATGCTAGACTATGCCGATACTGTTGCCGGGCCTCAGCACTGAGATGAAGCCAGCCTTCCACATGATGCAAGACAACAAGTAACTGAAATAGCATTTGGCATTACAGTATAGCATGTACGTTGTACTACAAATGACAAACATGAGCTGGCGGGCCGAGAATAGTTGATAAGGTCGTCTATGCCACGCTGCGATAGGCATGCGCTCCACAAACCCATCTTCCCAAGCCTAAACCGCATAGCCCAACCCCCAAACCTGAACCAGAGAGCCCTCAATCCGAAGCCCCTAAAGTTTAAAGCCTAAACCCCTGAACCTCAAAAGACTCAACTCATCTTCCTTACGAGCCATCAAAAGCCGAGACAGCTCCTACAACCCCAAAACCCTAAAGCCGTTTGAACCCCGAAAACCCTGCCCTGAAACCCCTTATCCCCTAAGCCCATCTTCAAGCCACCCAAAAACCCGAAAACCCTACACCCCCCAGCCCCTAAGCCCCTAAGCCCATCTTCCACTGAGCCATTCTTACCGCCGAAAGGCGAGGCAGCCTTTGATGAAGTTCCACTTGTCCTCGTTGTCGAAATCTGGGCTCTTGGTCGCCAAAGCGGTCCTGGGTTGATGCGTTTTGGGGTTTAGGGGTTTGGGCGGCTCGGGGTTTAGGGTTTGGGGTTCGGAGTTTAGGGTTTATACTTGTGGCTTCATGACATTCTGCATTGAGGGTTTTTGTAGGAAGTTTTCTATAGGAGTTTAGAGTTCCGATAAGTACTAGTTGGCCGCACTTGGTTTATTGAAAACGAAATTGGGGCGGGGGTTTCAATTGATACTATAATGATTACGGTAGAGTTGCTGTGAGAAAGCAACTTTCAGCGGTCTATCAGGGATTGTGGGTTTAAAGCGCTTGGTAGCCAACCCTAAACCCTAAACGCTTAGGCGTTTAAGGATTCTTTCCTATCTGGGGGGGGGGGGGTTCGGGGTGAGGCGTTGGGTTTCCGATAGGATTCTAGAAGGGTCTAGGATTCCTTTCGGGGCTTCATATAAGGATCCTATCAGGGTTGGGGGCTCTGTCTACTTATGGGTTTCTACAAGGATCCTATCAAGGGCCTTGAATTCCTTCTGAGGCTTCATATCAGGATCCCATCAGGGTTTAGGGCTATGCTTAATTTAATGGTTCCTATAAGGATTCTACGGCTGAATGCAGTTTCAGGAATGGGGGCTTTACAAGGCACCTTTACGGGATACTATGAGGATTACCACCTCGGGTTACTAAGGGTTCCATATAAGTCATATATAAGGGAATTTTGTTAGAGTGGGGCAGTCCTTTCTGTTTTGTTAAGGGCCTACCATGGGAGGCGCACCGGCATGGCAGGAACAGCAGGGATTTTGGTTCGGGGTTTGGGGGTTTAGGGCTTGGGAAGTCGGGTCTCGTGGCTGGGTTGAACATGGACGCAGTTGGACAGTGACCAACAGCACTGGCTTTAGACTTTGATCCCGCCCCTCCGCAAACTAAGCTGCCGAGGTCATCCGAAATCACAGACATCATTGACATCTGCCGCAGTTGCCGTCGCGAAGTATTCCGGGCAGAGCCTGAGTGCGGGACCTGAAGCCGTATCGACGTCTGCTGCAAAGGTCCGCTCTAACATGAAGAAATGCTGGAGAAGTCGACTGCCATCCGGAACGGGGTGGCTACATGATGTCCTCTTGCGCCAGATCTCCAGCTATACGTTGAGCCAGGGTAGGTCCCAATGCTTCTGGGCCACGCCACGTGGTCGGATTGGTGGGGTCCGCCACCGGGGCCGTGCGGTGCTCGGAGCGAAGACGACCCAAGTTTCGGCGGAGACGCGAAGTGTGTAGTTGAACTTTCGCACGAAACGCATGACCACAGCCCGGGCTTTTTCCCACGTCCAGTCATCACCTGCTAGCAGTGCACCAGGCCAGAGCGCGTGCGCGACCCACAGTTCGTCCATGTACTTGTCGGTGTCAATGTAGACAAGGTCAGGAATCAAGCCGAGCCGATGGACCTCCAGGAGTCCCAAAGGGAAGCCTTTGAAGTTGATCACCAGGCGCTCTCGGAAATCCCAGAGGTTTGAAAAGAGCGTGTGCGCCCCGCCGTCAAGTTGGCGCATGTTCTCCAGAGAGTCCAAGGCCTCCTCACAGCATCCCAGAACTCCGCCTAGTTCCCGGTTCTGCAAGCTGAGGCTCTGCACCGTGTCGGCCAGCTCCTTGCCGGACTGGCCGAAATAGTCCCTTTCGAGAAGAACTGCCATCAAGTTCGGGGCATGCTGGAGCCACCGCCGCATCGACCCGCCGAGGAAACCGCCAATCTCGAGCAGCACCAGCTGCTCATCTGGATACCTTGGTTCCCCAATAACCCCTGAATTAATAAGACCCAACCCTAAAAAGGGCCAAAAAAATACTACTCAGGGACCTAGATACATGTCCAGAAGCTGCGTGACCATCTCCCGCCCGCCGCCGTCCAGCACTGCCTGGAAGGCTCGGAAGCGCCGAGCCGCCGGCCAGGGGCTTACGCCGGCCAGCGCCTCGCGCGGAAAGCCCGGAGAGACCCCAAAGGCCTCTTTTCCGCCCAGGGAGGCCATGGAGGCGAGAAGGGCGCATGAAGATTTCATGGCAAGGGCCCCCTCAGAACTTCGGAGCTTAAGTTGCCTCAGGTTCCGAAACTAAGGAACGCCGAGGTCGCTACATCCATGGATCTGGCTGCAAAGTTCGTGCTCGAATCATGTCTGCCAGTCTCAGAAGCCCAGGCACAGGAGGCAGTCCAAACCCGAAATCCCACCATGCTGAACAGATCTGAAAACTCCAGCCTCTCCGGGCACCTCGACACTCCTAAACCCTATAATCCCTAAACCCTAAACCCTAAACCCCTAAACCCCTAAACCCTCCTACGCCAGCAGACAAGATTCCGAGAAGTATCGACAAAGCTTACAGCTGACTTCTAAGCTTCAATACATAGAAGCGGTTTAGGTTTTAGGGTTTAGGGTTTAGGGTTTAGGGTTTATAGGGTTTAGGTTTTAGGGTTTAGGATTACCCATAACAAGGAATATACCATAATTCCCACAGTTTTAGGGTCCGCAAGGTAACGCAGGATTTATATCATCAACAGAAGAATAGGGTTTGGGGACATACCATACCCTACTTATATACTGCAGGGAACTATACAGGATGTATTTTCCAAGCATCATCGACGCGAGCCGGCAGTTCAGGCGCCAAAGTTGGAACCAATCTCGCGGCTCCAGGAGTGTCCTCCAGACACCAAGATAAGTTTAGGGTTTTGGTTTTAAGGGTTTTGGTTTTAAGGTTTAGAGGCCACCACAGGTTTCGAGGGATACACCGGTCTAGGGTTTCGGGATACACTATACGGGATAATCCGCTCAGCGGCTTCGCTGTCTATTTAGATTTAGTATCTACCCTCCGGGCTTTAAGATTGGATTTCGGGGATACAGTTTATTGTACTCCGTTCGAGGCCTCGACTTAGTGTCCATACTCCCAACTCTCCTTCCTACGATTTGGGAGGTTATGGTCAGGGACTTCAGGCTACAGGATTTTGGGTTTAAGGGTGGGGGTGAATGGAGAATTGGATCCAAGCGAACGTTGATTTGCTTTCCTACCGGACCTTGTTTTCAGAAAAAAAATCCGGCATTCCTGTCGACCCCTCCTCGCCACAAAAGCATGTACACAAAAGCCTCTCTCCTGCGAAGTTCTGGCGGCCGTGCGTATCCCTTTTTAGTGGTTTGGGGGGGTTGTGCATTGGGGTTTCGGAATTAGGGTGGAGGGTTTTGTCTGATACACGCCCTGACCCCACAAGGCTTTCGAGTTTCACAGCATACCTTCTCCCCTCCTCAGGCCACCGGCAATACTGTAAACTTAGGGTTTAGGGTTTAGGAGTTAGGGTACTGTAAACCTAGCATGACTCCCTGGTTCTTAGTAGGGAATTGGGGGAATGGATCCCTATGATAGTCCCTTAAGGTCCCCTATAGTAGTCCCAATAGTCCATTCCCCCATAAGAACCAGGGAGATGAGGGACGACAAAAGGAAGAGAGAAGGAGAGAGCGAGTGAGTGACTGTGAGAGTGATACTAGTTGCTGGATAGGCACAAGATAGGGCGAGAAGAGATCGGGACAGACACAGACAGAGTAGTGAAGAAAAAAGAAGCAGAGAAAGAACGAAAGAAATAAAGAAAGAACGAACGAACGAAAGAAATAAACAACGAATCATACACAGAAAGCGAGAGTGAAGGAACCAACAGAGAGGCCGAGCCGCGAGCGTGACTAGTTTCGCCGCAGGACTTCAGTTCAGAAGAAAGAAGACGTCTCCTGGACCCTCCACTACTGACACAAGGAGGGCTTAGGGTTTAGGGTTTGGGGTATAAGGTTTAGGAGTTTTTAGGAACAACTGAAGCCGTGGAAACACGCACACACGAAGACTCAAAGCCCTGCGAACCTCAGCATGAGACCCGACTCCCGGAAACCCCTAAACCCTAAACTCTAAACACTGAAGCCCGAACTTGCCCAAACCCGGTCAGGCAGGAATATATCTTAAACTCATGAGATGCATGCCTCTAATACAATTCAGGGTCTGTTCGAGCTTTTGGGCTTCGAAAAACCCCACGCCAAATCTCCTAAACCCTATTTAAAAAAAAAAACCCTAAACCCAAACCCCGAACCCCAAAAACTCCTATATTGTGGCTCCTTCGGTAACATTCCAGCTCAGAAGCTTCGAGTCCTTTGAACCTGCCAAGGAGGATAAGTTCAAGGTTTGGGTTTAGGGTCTAGGGTTCAGGGTAGTTTGGGGCTTGGTGTTTAGGGTTTAGTGTAGTTTGGGGTTTGAGGCTCAGGCTCAGGGTTTGGATTCAGGGCCTGGGTTTCGGGTTTAAGGCCCAGGGTTGAGGGATTCGGGATCCAACTTTCGGGTTTGCGGATTACGGTTTAGGGGTTTAGGGTTTTGGGTTTGGGGTTTGGGGTTCGGGATTTAGGGTTTGACAATTAATTGTAGTGCTTTTTGCCCAGCCCTGAACTCAAAGCTAGGTCCGCGCCTTCAGTCGCAGGCACTAGACTACTTCTGACCACTATCTACCTGCGGGGGAGGGGCTCACTGTTGATAGATTCCTGAACCATGCTGAAGTAAAACTTGAATCTAAACTGTCGCACTTGAGATCAGGCTTCACACTGTGCTTCCATTGAGATCGATATCTTCAAAACAATTAAGCACGCTATTATAGTGTGCAATTTCAGTACGTCCTGCACGATGGGTTTTGTCAGGTTGTAAGGGGCTTTCCCGACGGATTAATGACCCTACTGCGCACCCAATGAGAAGGATCCGAAAATGTACGGCACTTACAAAAAGACTGAGTATTGATCAGGGCTTCCATGTTGGGGTCGGTAGTAAGTTGATGTAACGGACTGTAACGGATGGTATCGGGATGTTTGTGCTGTGTTGCTTCTTTTGGCAATTCGGGAGTTCGTTCGAGGAGTTTGGCTCTTCGCAAGGGCGAGTTTCGGAGTTGATTCGTTAGGGGTTTAGGGTTTAGGGTTTTGGGTTTAGGGTGTGTTCACGGCTTCTGGTGAAGCAGGCTGTTGCCCAGGCACGTATACACCGTCGCCGGAAACCCGTTGTAAGTCTGCTTCAGGTAGGAATGATGGCGTTAGAGAGCCCATAACGGTGTCGTGCTCAAGTTTCGTGCTGTTCGGGTTGGCGCGGCTCAAGGGTTATCTGTCGTAGTTTACTTGAAGAATCGGGCTTAAACTATTGTCGTTCAGGACTACACACAAAATCCTGAATAATTTGGATGGGATGTGGGGGCGGGGGGGGGGGTATCAGAGTCCAGCAGTTAGTACTAATCATTCAGACCTCTCTGCATACAAGTGCTTCGCTGTCTTAGGGCTCGGGGCACGTTTGAGGGGTTAGGGTTGAATGCTTCAGAGTGCGGGTCGAAGTGTCAGGGCTTGAAATTCTTTGGGGTTTATGTAGGCGCTACGGTTTCCATCGGGATTTTGGGTTCAGGGTGCGTTTGATTTCATGCGGGTGGTTCTGTAAATAGGGGAGGGGGTCCTTCTTTTATAAGGGTGCCGTACTCTTCTGGCGAGCTACGGCAACAATGGACTCTCCTTTAGAATACTTTAGAGAAGGGGCCCGCACATAGGCCTCCTGTACCAAGACCCCCAGAAGGCCGCCGTAGGGATGACGAAGAGAATCGCAAACTGGGCCGGGTTTAGGATTCTCATGAAAGTCCCTCAGAAGGGCTTACGCTTTCGGGGTTAGAGTTTTGAGTTCACACCTTTTAGGGTCCCTTTTAAGGGGGTGCCGTACTACTATGTTACTATGTACTCTAATTTAGAAAGAACTACCCACATAAAGGCCCCCATAATCGGGTTTTATAAGGTTGTTGAAAGTGTTGCGAAAGCTTAGGAAATCAGGAATTCAGGGATTGAGGTTTTCACAGGCAAATCGCTGAAGCCCTACAAGCCCTAAATCCCTATAAACCCTAGAGGAGAGGGTTCGCTGCAAAGGAGCCTCCCGCTATCTCGATTATCCTCCGTGACGCTCAGCTTAGGGCTCAGAGTTTAAGGGTTAAGGGCTTGGGGTTTGGAGCTGAGGGTTTAGAGCTTAGGGTCTAGGGCTTCTAGGATTTAGGGTTTAGAGTTTAAGGCTTTTAGGGCTCTTAGAGCTCAGCATTTGGGGTTTAGGAAATGGCTTAGGGATTACCCATAGGCTCCGTAGTAGTTCCTTTTGATGGTTTATGTATAGAACCCTATAAGGAAATTCCCAAAAAAGGAACTACTAAGGAGCCTATGGGTAGGGCTTGGGGCACCAAAACCCAAAACCCTAAACCCTAAACCCTGAACCCTAAACCCTAAACCCTAAACCCTGAACCCTAAACCCTAAACCCTAAACCCTGAACCCTCGCGGATGATACAGTACACA